TGTTTGCAGACGATTATGTGTGCCTACTGTCTTTCCATAAAACATCAATCAGCCTGTAGCTGGAGTAACAGTGACATACATATTTATTGTATGATTTTATTTTTGCCTGAATTTGTCACAAAATTTTTTTCCTGGCCTCTGCTCACATTTGTCTTATTCCCCTATTACTCTCTCACCTTTTACTCATTTCCCTCCACAATCTAATTACCTCGCTCCCTTTCCCCTTGGATCGTCTCCTCCCGTATCAATCTGAGTCCATCTACAGGCTTAGAGGCCAACCTCTTTTCTCACATCAAGCAGCTCCCCATCTCTCCTTCAGAATCAAGCTCCAATGACCTCTTCTCTGAGCAGCTCTCCTAGCTAAATACAATGGTTGAAAACTTAGGCTTTGGAGGAAGACAAATCTGTATTTGACACCTGGGTCTGTCATTTATCATTTCCATGCTCTTGTCATGCCTGTCATGTTGCTTCTTCAAGCCTCACTGTCCCCATCTGTAAAATAGGGGCAGTGAATACTGCACAGAGGGCTAGTGAACATTAAAATGGATAACAAATGTAAAGAACTTAACATAGAATCTGGCCCTTAATACTTATTGCTAGTCATAAAGACAAATTGTCTAGTAATTCTCATGCCTAAATCATATATGTGTGTATATATGGTGATTTAATTTGGTAGCTATTTACCTTGACTTTATCTGCTTCTCTGATAAACCGTGGGAGACAGGGCTGCTGCTCTGCACAACTCCAATTCAAACAATACCCCCTGGGGTTGTGCAATATGGCGACTCTGGGAAAGAGAAGGAGGCTTTTCTTTTCAGTTTGTTTCTGTCTATAGTCGGAATATTTTAACTTTATAAATAAATTACTTTAATGTTTTAAAATGTCAGCGGGGTCTCTGGGCAAGGAGATTTGGGGTTGTTTTATTTTTTGGTTTGGTTGGTTGGTTTGTATTTTTTACCACCCTTTGCTTTTTAAAAATCTGAACCAATAATAATGTGCTTTGAAGAAACTCAGTATTTCAGAAGTCATCTAGCCTGTGTTAGTTAGGATTTTAGGAGAAGGTCGATTAAAAAGCATTTGTTGGTAGAAAGAGGAATGAGCACAGGCTTTCAGGTCAAGCAGACCTGGATTTGGATCCACTATTTACAAATTACCTAATCTTGTTAGACCTTTGTTTCCTCAGACTGATAAGGGAGCTAATAATCCCACATACATTACAGTATTTTCTGGTACTTAAATGAAATACTGTGTATGCAAAGTATCCAGCACAAATTCTGGCACATGATAGGTTCTCAGTAACAGGACCTGTGATTACTTTTATTATGTACTGTGGATTACATTTTTATTATATACTGTGGATTATTTGATTATTTTATTGCTGACCTAGTTGCTAGCTTAAAACTGGTTAGAATTAAGATGCTGGTTAAAATTGGCAATTAAATTGGGGTTGGTAGTAGGATTAGTAGTTTTAGAGTCTGTAATAGATTAAAGAGTTAGGAGTGAAATTAGAATTCAATTAAGGTTAGAATTAAAATGCATACGGAGGTTATTATTCGGGATGGGGCCAATTAAAACTGGACAATAGGAATAAGAATCAGTATGAGGAGTACTGGTTTAGTCGGATGGAAAACTGAAAAGGAAAGCAATGTGGAAACTTACGCAGAACTTCCGGATAAAGAAAAGTCCTACAGAGGAGGAAGGTTAGGGTGCAATCACATGGATACTGAGCCAAGTCTCAGGAGTTTTTTCCCTACAGGTGCTGTCATCCCCTCTCAGATGAACATGTAGAATTCACCCAGTCAGGCTGAGTTCATTCCCTGTCCCCTCCGGGCGGGAGCAGCGTGGGGAGAGGAATGTCCAGGGCCCACACAGCTGCATGGAGCCCAGCACCGGTGCCAGGGCCACATTCCACACCCCCGGCTACCCAGGCTGTTGCTGAGCGGACAAGGGCATCCAGGAGGCAAAATCTGCCTCCTCTCCACTCTTCTTCTTTGCTCCCTCCAATTTTCACTGTAGCTACCAGCTCTGTAATCCCACAGATAACCTACTCCAGACTTTGTGCACGTCTCTGGAAATGCATATTGCATGTCACAGCATTTTCGAGTGGAAAGTAAGCACAGAGATCAGAACCCAACACGGATACTTTTATTTTACCTATTTTCCTAATGGGAATAACCCTAGTAGGTCAGTCTTTCTTTGTAAAACTCTATTCCTAGTGAATAGGGTAGAAGCCTGTAGGATGCCAGGTGCACATGCAAACAGGGCATTAGAAAGATTACAGGCAAGTCATTATTCCAACTGGGGACATCCGCATCAGCACAGGAGAAACTGCCTTTTCACTCTGAGATGCACAGAAGTGAGGAATTTTTCAAGCTAGACACTGCTCTAGAATATTGGGAATGATTCCCCTTATCCCTCCTCGCCGCATCCAGTACCGGTAACCCCTTTGCCAGCTGAACTGTATGAACACAGAAAGTCATGTAGCTTCTCTGAGTTTCATTTTTCTCAACTGTTCGACAAGAAGAGGTATTAATTAGATAATCTTGAAGGTCCCTTACAACTCAGATACTATTTTATTCTATAATTCTAAAAGCCAATGACTGCTTCCTATTCCCAGGACCTAAACTGCTGCCAAACTGATGCTGATGATGCAGAAAAGGGAAGAGCAGCCAGTACGAAAAGAGCATTCCAGAGTCTCATTTGCTAGCTCTTAATAGTCCCTCTTCCAAACAGCTTCCCCCCTTACTTTCCACCCTTGGTTCTCATCCTATGTAGTTACAACTGGGGGTGGGGCCAGACCAGCAGTCATTAGAGAATTAAGGGGGACAGGCAGAAGAGGGTCACTACAGAGCGGCAGATGGAAAAGATAATTAATTAGAGGACTTTGGGACCTAATCCCACATCCTGCCATCCCCACTCTCACTCCCCTCCCCCTCCATTAACCTTCCCTCTCTTAAGCCTGCTTAGATGATCTCTAAGGTTTCTTCTAGCTCCAAAGATAATACTCTTTATCCACTAAGACCCTTTAACTGGAAGAGACAGATCCTTCCCCTCTCAGGCCGATTCTTTTTGAAAACACCCTACTGTGTCTTTCTCACTGCATGATTAACCTCATGCCAACCTGGTCCCTCCTCTGTCAGAAAGTCCAATCATCCCTTTATCTCTCGCCCACCCCTTCTCTAGCCAGCCCAACCTCTTCTGTCCCTTCTATCCAGATCTCCACATCCCTCAACCACACCACCCCTCCACTTTCAAGGCGTCAGTGAGCACCAGGGAGGCAGAATGGTTTGGAGTCCTCAGGCAAGTCAGACAGCCAAAGATGGGCAAAAGTGACCTGCAAAAAAAAAATCGTAACTACCCAAGCACTCAAGAAATGTCCAAGAGGCAGGCAGAGCTCTTCTCTCAAAAACTATAAACTCTAAAAACAGTAAGAGAAAAACAGTGGGCCAGCATCCTGATGATCCTAAAGGATCTCCCTGGAGAATATTCCCTCTTGGCCTCTCCATCATTGACTGCCATTTATATAGGGCTTTCCTGGTGATAAAGTACTTTCCACATCCATGTTCTTGAGCTCCTGGGTAACAGAGACATTAACTACATCAGCACAGCAGGTTAAGAACTCGATTTTAGAGAGGGAAAGATTGCCCAAACATTAAGGATTAGCACAACGAGGCATACCCCCACAGAAAGAGGACTGTCTAGGATTTAGAAGACATATACCCAAATCCCTCATCTAGGGACAAAAATATTAGCCTCACAAGATTGGAAGACACTTTAAAATCATAATTGTTTCATATCTTAATCAACACTTGTATTTTCTACTATCAACTGTCAGTATCACCTTGGGTAGGTCAGTTAACCTCCTTTGGGCCTCAGTGATACCTACATAGTTAAGGGGCTGGACCAGATATTTTCTAAGAATTCTTACATAACTAAAATTATTTTATTCTAGGTTTCTAAAATTTAGAAATTTATTCCCAACAGCTAAGTCTCAGCAAAACTTAGGGATTCAGAAGGATCCCTTTCTGAGATACACGAAGACTCTTTCAGAGATACCTAAATCACTAAGAATAGCAAACACCAGGGAGGGACTTGGGGCACTTGAGCCAACAGCAAGTACAAACACCCCGCCTCTGTTACCATCTGACATCTGGCCTCAGAGACACGAGCTGCACCAGTCACAGACACACTGGTCCTTAAAAGGGTCTGTGGGTCAGAACATTCATTCAGGAGTCTCTCTAACTAAAACTTGGGACAGACAAGATCTTCTGAAAAATTAAGGGGAAAAAATATTGGGAGGAAGGGCTGGGGGCAAAGGGGTGGAATAGGGAGGGTTAAGGAAGAAAACTGAGTAGCCTTGTAGGCTTCTTGGTTGGACAGAGTCCGAGGTGAAATCATGTTTTCAGAGAGTAATTTCTTTGACAAGGGATTGAGGGACTTGTTGGTTCCCAAGGCCTGGGGGGTTGCTGAAAGATGCCTTTCAAGGGAGATTGCCTAGGGCTACAAATTGTTGCTGGACAGATAACTAGGGGATCCGGTAAGGGAACTGGGGACAGTCAGCGTTTAGGAGAATAGTGAGGATTCCTAGTTATCCACTGGGGAGCCGTCCCCGGGTACATGTTCACAGGGAGACCCCAGGGGTTATGGGGATCCCCTGTTGTCAAAGGGTGGAGGGCGGAGCTGGAGGACCTCGGGCTAGTGGGCACGCCCTTGCCCAGGCCTGCAGTGGCCGCTCTCGCCAGCTGGCCCACCGCCCTGCCCGACTTCCCTCCCTCCACCCCAAGCTTAAGAGGGGTGCGCGCGGGGTCCCGCTGCTGAGCCAGCTCCCTCCCTCCGATCCACACCCGAGTCGGGCTGGCGGAGCTCCCGGGGGAGAGGGTGGAAGGCACCACCAAAGCAAGGAGGGGGTGTGAGAGGCAGGGGAGTGGGGATGCGGCAGCCTTGCCCCCCCGCGACCAGCCCAGCCCCCCGTCAACCCCCCTCCACCTCCAACAGAATGGTTTGCTCCGAGCGCCCTATTTAATCCCAGCGACTGCAGCAGCGCCGGCTCCCTCCCGGTCCCCACCTCGGCCCCGGGCTCCTAAGCGGCTCGGGGGCGCCCTTTCGGTCAACGTCGTAGTCTACCCCCTCCCCAGCCCCAGCCCCCGGGGACGAAGGCTCGCCAGCGCCCAGCCAGGGAGCCGGCCGGGAAGCGCGATGGGGGCCCCAGCCGCCCAGCTCCTGCTCCTGCTGTTCGCCTGCTGCTGGGCGCCCGGAGGGGCCAACCTCTCCCAGGACGGTGAGTGAGGGAGGGGGCGGCGCCAGGGGAGGTGGGAGCCACCCGAGGCGGGGGTTTGGACCGGGAGCCGGGCGGAGGGAGCCTGTGGCTTTGTTTGGAAGCGGGGGTTAAAGTCGTCAGCCGCTGTTAATACCCTTGTGTCTGTCTCTGAGCATCCGAGTCTCTGTGGACCGTGGGGTGTGCCGGCGTGTGCACCCTCCCGCGTACACCTTCCAGTGTGAGCGTCTGCGTGTGCACCCGGGGCTTGCATCTCGGGGCTGGTTTCTGTTGTGAGCAGCCCGGGGTCTGGATGTGTTGCCGTCCGTGTGTGTGCGCGCGCGTCTGTGTTGGTGTCTGGCTCTGCGTTTCTGTGTCAGTATCTGTGTGTATGTCTGTGTCAGTGTGTGTTGGGGGCGGAGTGAGATTTGTCGCTGTTTCAGTCAGGGCGTGTGTCGGGTGTTTGTGTATGTATGTCTGTAGGGGTTGGGGAGCCGGTGCAATCCCCCAAACTGCTGTATGCAAACATTTCTCTCCCCCGCCCGTCCCCCCATCCGCGGCGGAGCTCTGAGTGGGCAGAGAAGGGGGGGCTGGGTGAGGCTGTTGAGGGGGGCGTGGGCAAAGAAGGGGGGTGCTTACCCTTGGACCAAAACAACAACAACAGGGTGGAGGGTGCCCAGGATGGCAATATCCCTAGCGGTGGTAGAAGCTGGGAAAAGAAACCCAGACAGCAGCGGAGGGGGTGGGAGGGAGGGAGACTGAGCAAAAGAAAGCATCAAGAAATTTGGGGAGGAGAATGCATGGAAAACCCAAAGCTTTCCTGAGCTGAGCATTGATTTTCCCAAATTTGGGGTGGGGTAGTATACCTAGCCCCTTTGCCCCAGTCTGGAACTCAAACCTTCTTCGGTTTGTAATGGTAGAGAGACGAAGGAAGGCGGGGGGAGGCGGGGCCAGGGGTGAAGGGACTTGGGGAAGAGCCCCTCCCACCCTGGGCCGGGCTATGTAGGTCAGCGCTGTGGGGGCAACTCAGCCTTCTCAAAGGCTGCTGAGGGTTAATGGGGTGGCACTGGGGCACTTTGTAGGGAGACCAGGAAGGAAGCTCGGAGCCTCAGGTCAGCATTGGAGGGAGGGCAGACAGCGAAGGGACTAAAGGAATGCATCCTCCTCACTCCCTCGCCTGTCAGAGGAGGGCTGGGGTGGAGGAGGGGGGAGAGGGAACAGGACCTCAGCGGAGAAAAGGGAAGTGGGGAGAGTGAGGGGGAGGGTGGTGGCTATGCCCGGCCAGATGCCAAGGAAAAACAGAAAGAACCGCAGGGGAGGAGAAAGGGGAGGCGGCTCCTGGGCGATGGACCCAGTGGCCAGCAGGGATGGGCACAGGGCGGGGCGGGGGTGGAGAGGGGAGGGGTTAAAACTGGGAAGGATGATGTAGAGAATTTCATCTAAGCAAAACAGGCGAAGAGCCAGGGTGCTGGAGGAATAAACCTCCACCTCACCTGACCTCCTCCCCAAGCCCTGTCTCCATCATGATAAAGGAGCTTCCCCTGGTATGGGGACCCTTGGGATTCCCCTTCCTGCAGCTGGCTGGCTCCTTCCACCTTCCACCCATCAAACTCCCCAAGGGGAGTTCCTGCCCTAGTCACCACGGAGACAGCAGCCCCTCCTCTCGCTACATGGAATCCCCTTCCCCAGAGGATTGCACTGATGACCCTGCCACTGAGGAGCTGAGGAGAGTCCTGAGGGATAGCAGGCTCAGTGCAAGGCAGAGAGAGGTAGCTAGGTGTCTGAGCCTCAGTAATGACGCTCCTACTAGGCCTTGACTTTCAACTGCAGCCCCCCCCCCATCCTGCTAGGCGAGTTTTACCAAGAGAGGCAACTATGACCCAAACTGCAACTACTCAGCAATGAGAACTGATGGTGCGAGGCTGGGACTTGAAAAGAAAGACATCATCAGAGAAAGCTGTGAACCCTTCTACTCTAGGATGTAAACACAAGAGACTAGAGTATATCAGTATACTAGCCAAGTCTCTCTTCACCAACTATTCTTTCTTGTTCCTCAACTAGGGGTCCCAGCCCCTATTCAGGATTAAAATTGACAGGTAGAGAAATGCCCTGTCCCCATATTTAGGAATATATCTCAGAGCAGTGGCTTAAGGGAAAGAGTAGAAGGCAGTACCTTCTGAATAGAGCAGAGGTCGGGAAGTGGGAGATGGGGAGGACGGGTCTGTTTCCAAGGAAGAGTCAAATCGAGCATCATTTTCCTTTTAGAATATCATCTCTACAGATAGTGGACATCTGTCTGGTGTGCAATATCACACTGATGCACAAGAAATCACCACAGTCTCTTCTACCTTAGATTATTTCTGCCCCTTAGCTTCTGAATCTAAGAGGCCAGCACTGATGGTGGGAGGTAGGTGTATAGATTTAATGCTCATGGATGGTAATCCTGAAGGCTATTCTAACCAGGATTATACAGAAGGTGTGTCTAGAACCCCTGAGTTGGCCTGAGGCCCCTGGGCAGAAAACTAGGCAGTGCATATTTTAACTTGTCAATGTCTGACCAAAACCAGGAGAAATGCAGAGTGAAGGTTTAAAGACAAGATACTGTAATACACTGCTGCTTGAATGGTCAAGGGTATTGTGGCAGGGTGGCTATTTTCATCTAGGAAAAGGAAAACAAACTTTATGTACTGCTGGGGTGTATAGTTCCTTACAGTACAGCCCAAATTTTTTAAGCTTTAAAAGGATGATCAAGGATTGAGAGGCTGGAAAAAGGCAAGTAATTGATACCCTGGAACTGGCCATTAGTGCTGTGGCTAGAAGCTCAGAAAGCTCAGGAAGACATTCAGAATTTGCCACCTGCCCTTCCTTCTCACATTTTCCCACTAGTATTGGCAGAAGTTGGCAATTCCAAGTTTAGGGGATACAAGGCCTATGAACTTAAGATGAACTGTGGTCACCTCTCTGGTGACCAGTGTGTCATTTGTGACTGTGACCAGCCTTCTTTGGATTTCTTCTTCCCAAGTTATTTCCTCTGTGAGCACTCTGTGAGTTGACCTAGTGTATAGACGGATGGATAGCCTCACTTTGCATCAGACCAGATTATTGCAGTTTAACTTGGTACAGCATTTCCCTACACATAAATATCTTTTCCTTCCCAATGACCTTCTGTCCACTAACATCCATTCTGCAGCCCCTGGCCAGGTGCCCAGTGTAGACATCATGCCCAAGGTGCCAGAGAAGTCCTGTAGGCATTCACTGTAGTGCTGTCTCTGGATCTGTTTGGCTGATCTGCTCTATCCAGTTTCTGTTCCTAGTTGCAGCTATAATGGTACTGTTATCTTCTCTTGCTATTCCTGATCTCTTCCGAGTTCCAGCTATAACTCTTGGGAAGGATATGTGCATGCAGACATGTGTCAAAAGTTGAGAGACACTGGAATAATAGTTTACTTTTGTGAAGAACCAGTCTATATGATGTAGGGCCCAATCTACAGAATGTCAGCTTCCTACCCGGCAGTTATGTCAAACACTGTACCCTAAGCCCTCTCTAGGTCTGGACAGCACTGCAGGTGTTAGTAGTTTCCTCTAGCACAACGGTTTTCTCACTTTCAAAAATAATGATGTGAACCTCCTTTACCAAATTAGTAAAACAGACCAAAGGAGAAATGCTCTTGTTGAAATAGAGAAGTAAAACCCATAGCCTCTTTCCCTGTGTTATTGACTTCCTCACACTCCTACAGTCCTTAAGGCACTACCTGGGGTTCTGCTGCACAGTTCAAAATCCTCTGCCCTAGACTGATAGTAGAATGAGCCAGCTCACTATCCTCAGGCTCTCTCTTCTTCCTCTTCCAAGGAAGAAGAAGAAAGGAGGTCCAAATCTAATTTCAAGAGTGCCTTGTTGGAGATATTCACTGTTCACTTGGAGAGAGTGACTCATAGTTCTGCAGCCATGAAATTCCACAGACGGCATCTTTTTGGTATTCTGCTTACTCTGAAATAGCAGACCAGGTAGTTGTGTCATTGCTCTGTAAATCCTTAGATTTGATTTTAGTACTCCTTGCTGTTACTTCTTTCTTGCAGTCCAAATAATATGTGGAATGGGATCAAAAGCTGGTTTTTCCTTAAGTTACATATTAGGGAAAAAATCTTCACAGATATCACCAGAGCAATAAAAACCCCTGGGGCTGTGACTAGTCACATTCTTTGTTGTTTCCTACTCCAGTGGAACTGTATACTGGCTCAACGTTTTTTGTCATCTAATTCTCAGTAATGGAATTTCACCTAAGGACGGTGATCTAGGTTCCAGATTCTCCCTGAAAGCAAGCTGTGGACTTGACCAGCTCCTTACTGACTACTGAATGAAAAAAATCAAGATTATTAGGAAGTTTTGGTAATTACATCCTTTTTTATTTTCACATTAGATTTAATGTATCATGTTTAACCATTGGCTATAGGCCCATATACTGGAACATTTTGTTTCCTGTATGAGGTCATGTCCTAGAGGTCCACCCATAAGCTCTGAAAATAGCAATCCCCATGGGAATGTTTATGAGAAACAGAGAGAAACATACCATCAGAAAAAGAGCCTGGTGAAGCTAGATATCAGAAAAAGATTCAGAAAAAGTCTCTAAGAGCTTGGTCAAATTAAGTATAAACACTCCATGTCATTGTAAAATGAAGAAGAACAAGTCTCTGGGCAAAGGGCCTGTTTTCTGCCTCTAGGAGCAGCAGTAGTGATGATTTTTTGCAAGGTCAGAACCAGCTTATGCTCAGGGCTCTGTAACTACCCAGGTAAAAACCCGATCCAATCCTGCTAGATATGACAAGGAGATCCATCCCTTCTAGTACTGAGAAACCAAGCTCTCAAGAGTCTTGAACATATGAGATTGTTGAGATTTTTACACAATAGAGGCTCGGCAAAGATACACATTCTTCACTGAAGCAGCAAATACTGAAGAGAGAAACATTTCTCCCTTTACTAAAATTTCCCTAAGCCTCAAGAAAAGTGACCAAATTTCCCAACTAAC